CTGTTAAGATTTTTGGGCTTCAGTCAAGCTTTATGGCAATTGAGTCCACAAACTTTTAAAATAGTTTGTGTTGAAGATTGCCTGTCCTTAGATGACCTTATTTTCTTCTTGGGAAGAAAATTAATGTGGAAGACTGTATTAATAGTTATGGCATGTTAACAATGACAGCTTCTTTGTTTTAATCTTTATAGATCTTTTTTTGTTTTTGATAATGCTATTTTATTCAACCAGTTTTTGTTTTAATTATATAATTATTAAAGTAATATAATGCACATAATTAATAAGCAAGTTCAAACAGTGTGGAAAGCTATAAAATTAAAAAGTACTGTTCTTCACCAAAGTAGCAGACTAACACAGGGTGCTAATTCCTTTACCCCAAATCAACCCTGGAGGAATAGAAACAAGAGGCAACTGGATTCCAGGAACTCATTTTAAAGGAGTCTGAAGGCTCTTGCCCCCAACTTACCTCCAGGTAATTCTGCCTCTTCACTGTAAAACAAGTAACAATAGCCCATTCCACTGGTGTCAGAATCCAAAGAGTAGCAGTACAACAGTGCAAAAATCCTATTGGAGTCAGAGTGAATGAAAAAAATGTGAACTGACATCTATTCTCAGTTCATTCCTTCCTCTTTTTCCCCCTTCCCTCTGTGGAAACTGCTGTCTACATCCCTCAAAGGTTTAAAGTATGAAATTCTTGCAAAGGGTATGATACTACACTAAAGGAATAACTGGCTTTTTGTGCTTCACTTCACTACCCTATGGCTCTTCAACTGCATTTCCTTAAAGTTACTGGTGCAAATGTCAGTTCAAGCCTGGCCTCAGCCCTTCCCAGTATGTCTTTTCAGAAACAGTAGCTGACTCCCTGAAAAACATTACTTCACACACAAGCATAACTGTACAGTTGAGGACTACAACTATTTCAAAAGAAATCAGTAAATTTGTAACTTATATGATCTAAAGCAGAGCTATTAAAGTCGATGAACCAGGAATTTAAAATAAATATGATCAGCATTTGGCCAGAATCTCCATCTTTCAGTAATTTATTGAAATGATGAACACAAGGGAAAAAGAGGCACTGACGTTACGTTTTCTAGGACTTTTAGAAAATACGGAGTTGTTCCCTTTGCCCCATACATGTGAGTCTACAAGAAAAATGATACTGTCTACATCAAGAAAACAGATACTGTTCAAAAAGGAATACCACAGAAATTTTACTGTGGCAAAAATAGAAAAATTATATAGTGTTGCTTAGTGCTATTCTGTTGACATTTTTATAAACAAGGGCAAGATTCTTGCCAAGAAAATTAATGTCTGTATCGAGCATACCCACCACTCTTAAGAGCCAAAATAACTTTCTGAAATGCATGGAGGAAAATGATTAAAAAACAGAAGCCAAAGAGAGAGGTACCTGGGTTCAGCTGAAGCACAAACTTGCTCCACCTGGAGAAGCACACTTTGTGAGGAGCAGGAGAAAGGAGGCAGAGTTGCTGGAACCTGCTCTCTATGAATTCATGGGGTGATATTTAAAAACAAAAACAAAATCCCTTGCATTGTGAAAATAATCACTGTACTGTACTAAAGGATACAAGGCAGTATACTACAATGATAAGATGAAATAAGATCTTAAGGTCATAAGACCAGAATCAAGTGGAAGTATTAGAAACAACAAATTTAATTAAAATGAAGAATAAAACAAATATAACAGGGTGATCAGAGTGAATCAGTCAATTGAAAGATTTGAATAAATAATCTCCCAGAAAGAAGCAGGAGAAATACTAAGATAAAGAGACAGAAAATAGAAAACCTGAGGGACATGGAGAATAGTTGTACAAATGCCAAAATCTTGGAGTTCCAGAAAGATAGAACGATAAGATAGAAAGACAAATAAGTAATCAAGGTATGTATGTCAGAATTCAAAATGATGAAAGGCTTCAGGTTAGTGAAAGAGCTCATGGTATACCAGTTTAGACAAGAGAAACTGCATAGTTTGGGTATGTTAAAGTATAATTAAAAACATTAAGGCTGGGCATAGTGGTGCACACTATAATCCCAGCACTTGTGGGGAGGCTGAGACAGGAGGATTGCCATGAATTCAAGGCCAGCCTGTCTCAAATAAATAACACTACCTAATGAAAACATGATGGGGTAAGCGGAATGGGATGCTGTGTATTAGGAACTCTCTATGGGAGTCATGATTATCTTGTCTGTGAACAGTGTTTGATGCATGGACAATGTAATCTTTTATCTCTGGTGCTTTTGGCTTTTTCTTGACAGTGGTTTTTCTTGTCAATATGAACCTTCCTGCTATCTTTCAAAATTCTTCAAAATTTCTTACCTCCTGATGATACAGTCTTTCTAGTGCTGTTTTTTTCTTTGTGCTACAAATATCTTTTCTACTAAATTGGTAGGTTGAAGAAAGCAATACTGTAGTTTGTGTTTAGTTTGCTATCTGAAACCAAAAGGCCCAACCTTTATACTGTATTTCATAAACAACTTCTGTTAGTAAAAATTCAAGTCTGAAATGCCTACTAATGCTAGACATAATTATATGTATATATGAAATGGATATGATTTTTCCACACTGGTTTTCTTTACTATGAATGCATCAAATCTCTACTTCAAAGTAAGTGAATATCTTATGTATTCATATTAAAAGATTTCTTCCCCTTTATGCATTATTAAAGAGAGATAACAAATTAGATTTATACTATTATAGCAGTGGATATTTAGTACTTTCTTAGAGAAATCTAGATTGCCTTTCTTGTTTAAATTTTTTATTTTTATTCGTGTTTGCAGTGCATAATAATTACTTCAATTGTGGGAAGTTGGTACATATACATAACACATCTTGATTTCTTTCTACTCCCCTTTTCCCTCCCTTTCCTCCCCTCGTCTCTTGGTTAGATTGTCTTTGAAGATAACATGGAATCTTTATTTTTGGTATGTTTTCATTGACATGTCATTTGAATCATTACTGTAGGGTGGATAAAAGCAGGAATTTAGTGCAATTTGTAAAACTTAGACAAAAAGCCACTAACATAATTACATTCAATATAGTTTTAACACCATTCCCCAGTTTTAGGATCTTCTTAGATATTTTTATTTTTTATGGAAACAATCTAAAATACTTTAATGTTTAAAAGAAGCAATGCCCAGTTTTAGTTTCATAATAAACATGACAGCAAAATGACTTAAGCTTTTTTTTAGTGCCAATAAAATGTTTTTAGCTCATCTAAATAGCTGCATCCTAAATATAACTGTAGCATTTAAATTCACTAAAATTTCATAAGAAATTTGTATTTTGGTTCGACTTTTTAAAATAAAAACACTGTATATTGGGGGGAAATTATTATAGAATAGAAACTGAAAGTACTCAAATGCCCACTGCACCTTCTCTAACAGTTGTTTGTAGTTTGGCTTGTGTTCTTTCTGTACTTTATTCACAAGCAAATATATGTTTTGCATACAAAAATTTTTCCTGTATTTGAAAGGGACTACAAATTTAAGAGTTAATAGAAATTTTGTATTTTAAGAGATTTTTGCCAATGACTATTCTTAGAGAAAAATGTTTTGATACCTCCAGAAATTTCTGTGAAACATCTTTACTCTTGGATTCTCCAGTTTTCCATTCTAGTCTTGGTCTCTATTAGTGCCAGTCCAGATTTTTCATACTTAAGGCATGCATAGCTTTGCTTCTTCTCTTCTCTTTACTTTCTCATTGCCTCCCCCCCTACTCCCACCTTCCTTGAGACAGGGTCTTGCTATGTAGTCTTGGCTGGGCTTGAATACCTACTCTTCTTGCTGATTATATCCATTTGGTGGGATTATTTATTGGTATTTCTTTACTGCCTGTTTCCATTCCACTCGTACTTCAATCATAACAGCCTCCTGCTTGATCTCTGTGTCTTAACAGTCACCTATTTTTGTCTATCCATGCTTACTGTTACTAAGAGCTTTCATTCTCTCACTCTTCTAAGTCTTCTCTCAGTAGAAATTTCCATCTTCAAGAGATTCTATAAACTACCTAGAAGTAATTTGAATTTTTAGGTGGAAAACTAGGACCCAAAAATTATTTTTATGTGAAAAAATATACTTAATTGAGAAATTTAGACCAAAACGAGATTTTCTACGTTCATTCCCTTTTGTTTACTATTTAAGTTATGAAGCTGGCCTCCAAAACTTGTTGAACACAAAGATCTGTTTCTGTATTGTAAGCAGGGTAACTCCAAACTGATACTTTTAATTTGGAAGTTATTTATACTTTACAAATAGCATATTGTTAGAAAACTATTTTTAAAACTTTGTTATTATATTTTTAGAAAGAACACCCTCAACAAACCATTTCTTTCATACCCTAAATATTTTTTTAATGTTTAAGGCTTAAAGATTAATTAACTTGAGATAATTTGAGGTAGTGAAGCCAGTATCAATGTCGTGGTAAAGAATACATTGCGCATGTCTTCTCTCTCCGTAGCTCTGTTCTGGTAGTTAACATTCATTCTTTCAAGAAGTAGTTGAATAATTATTATATGCCAGACACTATTCTGGGCACTGGGATAACAATGGTGAACAAAGCAACTTCTGCTCTAGTGGAGCTTACCTTCTTTTTTTAAAATATATTTTATTGGGGGCTGGGGATTTAGCTCAGCGGCAAAAGCGCTTGCCTGGCAAGCGCAAGGTCGTGAGTTCGGTTCCTGGTACC